AATTCTGGGAAAATGAAGCAAATGCACGATAATTTGTGATAAAAAAATGTTTTTTTGTACTCAAAAACATCTGAAATGATGATATGAATGATCTAAGACAACTGTCTTCTAAACAATATAATTATTGATTGATTTCATTGAAATATAAAGGAGGACAAACTATTTGTACAAGGCATGTTGATAAGAGCATAGAGAGGAGGGGGGGGGGGGGTAAATCAATATCAACATTTGTTATCAATTAAAAAATATAAATAATACTAATTATTTTGAATCATCTATAGAATTATAATAAGTAAAATGGAAGAAATATAATGTAAAATGAGGAAAGACAGAGAAATATCCAAAACACTTGGGGGGGGGGTATGATTCGATTATTTGACTTTCAAGGACGAATTAACTATCTGACATTTGTCTTATTTCCTTTTTAATTATTTTATTTTTCTCATTTCTCATGATATTCTAATGAATTACCCGCAATCATATTATGAGTGAGTTTAGATTTCAATCGGTTTGACTCTTCTCTTCCATTTTATTTTCTTTTCAGGTTTCATACTGATAATGATGCGAAGGATGAGATGAAGAACCCTGAGTATATGATAAACCTTACTCTTTTGGTGATTTGACAATATTTATCAGAATAAATACAGAAAAATTCAGTTACGTTATGCTACACCTTATGAGAGAAAACAGCTTTACCTTGGTTGTTTCTTTGCTCTCGCACGTTCAATCCTTCAACTGAGTGCATTGGTATTGAACGGTTCAATTATCTCAACACTCCTACAAACAAAACACGTAAGCATATTATAAGTGAAAGACAGGTTCCCCACGTTCACATTTCATTTCGAACAAAATGTTGGCGGAAAGCGGTTGGCTGTGCTTTTCAAAATCCTTATGTGTTCAATCAGATTCATCTGATACCTTTTCAGGATGAGCTAATTGACTTTGAATATTCACAGTCACTACTGCTTCACTTGGTGATAATATGTGGTTTCTTCCTGGTGATTTCACAAGTGAAAGTAGTTTACATATGCATCTATCAAATTACTCTGATTATTATTCAGTTTCTTGCAATGACTAATGCATGGTCGGAAGTGGTCTTGACAATCAAGAAGTTGTATTTCAACTCAGTCTATTACGAAAACGGTGAATCGGACGATGACACAAAACTGGAATATCTGTTTCACGAGATGATTCAGTAAGTTGCTCTATTCAACTCTTGTAATGAAAGGATTTCTAGAAAATCTGATGACTTCCAGAATACTGAGAAAGATATCGGAGATCTTATTGAAGCTTTCTCAACTATTGTGATTTCTCTGTTGGTTAGCTTCGCTATAAGCTGGGAACTTTCCATCGTTTTGGTTGTAAGCATCCTATTCTATACTACAAGGTTTATGATGAAAGTTAGTCGAACTAAAAAGATGCAGCTTGATAATTTTTTTAAGCTGCAAACGAGTCAGGTGCTACTACTAAACGATCTCAATGTATCGTCAATGAGCATAGCGAGCCATTGCATGAGAAATGTCCGAACTGTAGCTTCTCTCAATTGCGAGGACCACATGGTCGAGGTTAATAGTTCCTTTCACGAAATCAGAGCTTATTTCGTTGAAGAATTACAAGAAATGGCTTGAACTTGGTTATAATGCTGCTATGACAGGACACAAGTGTTATGGATACTTGGAAGGAGTACGACTGTTTCTTTTTCATACGATATGTGCTATTGCGTTGATGTACGTTCTGTGGTAGAAGAGAAAGAACTTGGGTTTCAGATACAGCAATTGGTTATATTCTGAAAAGTCTATTGCTGAAATTGGGGATGTTTTCATAGTTCTGAGTATATTATTTCTGAACCGGTATCACTACGGAAGGCTTTTGATCAGTTGGAACAAGATAGAGAAGGCTCGCAGAACTCTTTTCAGGTATTATAATAAAATTAATCAAGTATGATATGAATCTTTACCTCTCTTCATATACTCTTTTCAGTTCGATGAAGAAAAGGAGGTGAAAGGACTCCAAATGGAATTCACAAAAGGAAACATCGTTTATGACAACGTCTATTCCAATCAAGGAGGAGAAACTGTTTTGAAAGTATGTCTCTCATAGATTCATATGCTTTCAATTTGCAGGGTTTGATGCTGGAGATAAGACGAGGAGAAACCGTGGGAATAGTTGGTGATAGTGCAAGTGGCAAGAACGCTTTGGTAAGTCGTACAAGTTCAATTGTTTATCAAAACCTTGAAGTATAATTTATTAACTAATAATTCTACATATACAATGGGCAAAATAATAATTGATGGTAATAGAATAGAAAAGATCAGCAGAAATCAAATCAGAGATGTTAGTGATTGGAATTTCTTGTTTTTTTACATTATCTCTATAGTCAATTAAAATTGTCCGTGGAAATGAGTCAGTGTTTGAAGGAACAATCATGGAGAATATAAGAATGTATAGACCAGGAATCACTGAGGAGAATATCAAGAAATGTGCTGAAGTGGCTCAGCTTCATGGATTCATTAGTAAATTGGAACACGTTTGTTTGCTCAGTTAGATATAAAGCATCCTGTTATTAAGGGCTATTCAACTAATTTGCTGAAAGACGGCATATACGTCACGAAATATCATCAGCAGCTACTGGCGATCGCCAGATGTATCGTAACGGAACCAAAAGTATTATTCTTGGATGATTCAACATCCGCTCTATCAGAGGAAACAGAACAAAAGCTTCTGGTAGTGTCATCCATTATAAAAGTTTGAAAACTCCATATGATCCTTATAGACTTCCTTGAGAGAACATCTGGCAAATAGTATTATTATTATCATGTCTGATCGACCATATTGCTTGGAGAAGGTCGACAAGATATTTGTTCTTGAAGATGGTGTTGTGATAGAAAAGGGTATAACATTCATCCACAACATATCCATAGCTCACCCTTCTAGGAAGTCATCTACAACTCATTTCCAAACAAGGAAAATATCTGGAGTTCATTAAGCTCTGGGAAAAGAGAAGAGTATTCTCTCCATCAACTGGTAACACTATAAGAAGAGAATGTTCAATAGAGAATCGTTTCTTGCAAGGAAATAGAAATGTATACCAAAACCATGTAATCGTACAGTAACCCTCTCCAGAGATTCTCCTGCAACTATAACGGGATTGTGAAACTGTTGGTGGGATCCATATTTGCTTGCTTCTTACGTAGCATCGACAAACCGATTTTTCTAATCGTTTGTTATATTTTTCTCTTTGTGAGGACTTACGTTTTCTTATTCAATGCTTCATTTTCCTAATTGCAGGACATTACTGCAACGTTCCAGGCGGATTGGGTATTCACCATTATACTAGGTGGGCTACTCGTTGTATGGATCTCTTTCGTGTTACGAGTAAGCTTGACATTTGATTTCTCAAACTAACAAACTTATCAGAATTATATTGGACACATGTTTTTGGAGACATTTCTAATCAATTTGAAAGTTTTAACATTTCGATCATATCTTCATGCCGATCGCAATGAAATGGATAAGATGAAAGCTAAGGAACGGTCACCATTTGCAGTAATCTTCATGATGCCGGAAGAGATAACTGAAGTTTTCTTCTGAGATTTGATACTGTATGTATATTTATTCTACTCCAAGGTACTGTATGGTGGGTTAATGGAAAACGTTCATTCATGTTTTACTATTCTTCTCAATTCTCTCGTCACTTGGTATCTTGTCTGGGAGCTTGGTGTTGTTTCATCGAGTAAGATCTTTAGTTTCTTGAATCTCACTGGCTCTTAAAGTTTTCATTTTCATTTACTTGTGTATTCTGGTGTGTGGCTGCGTTTCTGACTACAGAAGAGATTTCAAGGTGGCTGATTATCTTTGAATACTATTGAAGAGTTATTTAAGAAAAGTGCTGGCATAGACTTAGAGACGTTACGAGCTGTTCGTCAATTATCCGCCAAATATTATTATTTCAAGAGAATCACAGATGCAGCTCCAGAAGAGAACTTTTATGTAACGATTGCTGTCACCTCTGCTAACTAATCCATGCAATTCGAGATTAAAATGTTCGGGGTGGAACTTGTGATGGTGTACGATCTCTTCTCTATTGCTTTATCGCTAATATTATTAGGAAGGAACATGTACAGCTTCAGCTCGATAATCATGTAAGTTTTGAAGAATGAAAAGCGTATAAAAAGCTCTCATCGTTCAGAGCATTCGTCTCGGGTCATTTCTGTCAATGGTCTCTTATTACTTTGAAAAATAATTCCGCTTCTACTATGAGATCGTTAAGAACGTTCATGAATATATTCAATACGATTCGATCTCCTCAAGAGATTTTAACAAAACACAACAAGGGTATAAAGCTGGTAAAAGATAAAACGATCTCTGTTGATCAATCATATGTTTCAGGAAATTTCTGGGGATATTCATCTGAAAAGGTTGAGCTTCTTCTACCCGTCTAATCCGGGAAAACTAATTCTGAAAAACATCGACTTGACAATAAAATCCGGTGAGAAGGTTGCTATTTATGGAAAAAGTAAAAGTGGAAGAAGTACAATATTCCAATTATTGCAAAAGTTCTACTCCCCGTCCAAAGGATGCATTGTAAGTTGTGGTCTCTGCTACTTCAGGACAATTTGCTTCAGCTGTTCGATAGCAACAATAACATTGAAGAACTCAACGCACATTATCTGAGGAATCAAATATGTTCCGTCAATGGAGATCCCATTATCTTTCCCGGTAAAACAGCCATTTCCTTCCCATTTCCTGAACTTTTTTTCTCACTGAAGGAACAATTCTTGAAAATATCACCATGGGATTGACTGATGTTCCTTTGAAGAAAGTTCGAGAAGCTTGTAAAATGTCTAATTCACATCATTTTATTGAATCGTTAGCTCAAGTAAGCCTAAAAAAAATTTCAAGCTTGTTCTTCTCTGCTCATAGGGTTATGATTCAATTATTGGAACAAATGAGTTGAATTTATCTACCAGTCAATGTTTACGGATTTCTCTCACTAGAGCTTTAATTCGAAATCCTAAGATACTGTTGATAGATCGAGCTTCAGCTCTCATAGATACACAGTCCAGAGAAGTAAAAATGGTCTTTGTTTGAAAGAAACTAAGAGATGATTGCAGGTAGTTGAGAAAGCATTTTCCAATGCTTCAATTGGAAGAACGTACATTGCTATTGTGAACTCACTCGAAGACCTCGAAAACTACGATAAGTTTCTTAGAATATTCACAACATTAGAAGCTGATGACTGTTACAGAATATGCATAATGAATGACGGAAGTATTGTTGAGGCTGGCAGCCATGAAGAACTCATGCAATTGAATGGATACTATGCCAAAATGGCAAGACAACTATAATAATATAATATACAACGTACTACATCAATGAAAATTGATAAAAGATCAGCTGTTCTTCATTTGGA